GTGTGTGTACACACTAATATGCTCTCAGCCATTCTCTTTCCTTCCCCCCACCCCCTATGTAACAATGCCCGCTGTACACTCTAAAGGACTATGAACATGTAAATTATTAATACTCTGCTTCACCAACTAGGTCTACTTTGTTGGTTAGAATTAAGTCCAGAATAGCAGTTCTCCTTGTAGCTTCTTTTACTGTTCTCTATCACATCAAGGCAGACTTTGCCCAATGCTGGTATGTGGCAATGAAGGGAATACAGCAAAAGGAATGAAGACAAATCCTAAGGGGATGATAGCTGGAAGAGAAGGAAGTTTCTACGGCAACTAACAAACATTTCTGTAGACTTTGTAAATGAAGATACGTAAACGGTATCTTGGATGAAGTTAAGAAATTATTGGCTTGGAGCTGTACAGAGTTCTACTGGTAATTACTCTTTGTACTAGTTTCTTCATCCTTCACATGAGGATATTAATCATATCTACTTCATAGGGTAAGGATTAAACAAATTAATACGTTAGGTAATTAAGTTATTTCCATGTAACAGAATTCTTCTCTTACCGATAAAGTGACAAACTGCACTGGCAGAGATTCTCTCATCCCTGTGAGCAAACTTTCACCCCTCACCCCCACCCCACCCACCCCTGCCACTTTAGGGTTATTTTCGTGGTTTATCAGCAACATTACTACTTGAGAACTGTACAAATCCACTACAGGAAGCAAGTCTATTATATACAAAACATCTAAAGGACATTTCTAAGTGTCTAAAACTCTTGTGAGGAAAATACCCAGTTATTAATCAGATTTATGAAAACTGGTATTTTTTAAAGACCCATTTTCTAACCGATCTCTCACTTCCAAGATTATCCATTTTATTAAGGGTACCAATGTGTAGTTTAAGACTATCAAATACACTATGAATTACAGGCTATTTATAGATTAATGGATTCCTATAATTTTTGCTTATGGGGAAAAAAAGCATAAACTGTTAAAATTCAGGATACATATGCTATCACTCTAAAAAATACCCAATAGAAAGAAGATAATCATGATACTTACTTCATCTCTATAAAGTGGGCTAGTATAATACATTATGTCCATTGCACTGCTGTTTAACATATCCCTTAAACCTCGTACTTTGTCTGGAGTAATGGAATCAACAGTGTCTACAAATTAAAAAAAAAATTAAACTTACAGAAGATCTGTTTGAGGAAAAATTGTGAAAAAAATTACATTCTCTGAAACAACAGTGTTTTAAGTTAACATTTAAATATTCAAGACTAGCTATGAATCTAATGAACCTTCTCTTCTTGAAATTTTACTATGTATTTCACTATATATATTTTTTACTATAGATATTTAAAAATAGTGATGAAGACAATTTACCTACCACAAACATCACTTCACTCATTGGTGATGAAAGGTTAAAAACATTTCCTTTAAATCAGGAATAAGCTAGGGGTATCTCTCTTTTTTAAAAGTTAAAAAAAAATTTTATTGAGGTATAGTTGATGTACACTGTTATGTAGGTTTCAGGTGTCCACCATAGTAATCCACAATTTTAAAAGGTAATATCCCATTTATAGTTATTATAAAATATTGACTATAATCCTTATGCTATACAATATATCCTCATAGCTTCTTTATTTCATACAGAGTAGTTTATACCTCTTAATCTCCTACCCACTAAACTTGTTCCTCCCCTACTAGCAACACTTATGTTGCTTTCATATCTTTGCTACTGTTAAATAATGCTGCTATCAACACTGGGGTATACATATCTTTTTGAATTAGTGAGGTTGTTTTTGGGTATGTACCAAGGAGTGGAACTGCTGGGTCATATGATAGTTCTATTTTTAGTCTGAGAAACCACCCACCGTACTATTTTCCACAGTGCTGCACCAATTTACATTCCCTCCAACAGTGTATGAGAGTTCCCTTTCCTCCATACCCTCTCCAGTGTTTGTTATTTGTGTTCTTACTGATGACAGCCACTCTGAAAGGTGTGAGATAACAGCTCATTGTGGTTTTAATCTGCATTTCTTTGATGATCAATGATGTTGAGCATCTTCTGATGTGCCTGTTGGCCCTCTGTATATCTTATTTGGAAAAGTATTTATTCAGGTTTTCTGACCATTTTTTAATTGGGTTGTTTGTTTTTCTTGATGTTGAGTTATATGAACTGATGGATATTAATCCCTTATTGGTCATATCTTACGCAAATATTTTCTCACATTATATGTACAGGTTGTCTTTTCATTCTGTTGATGGTTTCCTTTGCTGTGCAAAAGCTTTTAAGTTTACTTAGGTCTCCTGTGTTTATTTTTGCTTTTATTTCCTTTGCTTTAGGAGACAGATCCAAAAAAATATTGTTATGGTTTATGTCAAAGAGTGTTCCACTTATGTTTTCTTCTAGGAGTTTATGGTTTCTGATTTTACATTCAGGTCTTTAATCCATTTTGAGTTAATTTTTGTATATGGTGTTAGAGAATGTTATAATTTCATCCTTCTACAGACAGCTCTCCAGTTTTCCCAGCACCACTTATTGAAGAGACTGTCTTTTCTCCATTGTATATTCTTTCTTTCTCTGTTGTAGATTAGTTGACCATAAGTGCATGTGCTATAACTGGGCTCTCTATTCATTTCCACTGATCTATGTGTTGGTATTTGTGCCAGTATCTTACGGTTTTGATGATGGTAGCTTTGTAGTATAAAGCCAGGGAGTGTGATTCTACCAGCTCTGTTGTTCTTTCTCAAGATTGTTTTGGCTATTCAGGGTCTTTTGGGTTTCCATATACATTTTCAAATTATTTGTTCTAGTTCTGTGAAAAATGCCATTGGTATTTTGATAGGCATTGTGCACTGGATCTGTGTATTGCCTTGAGTAATATGATCATTTAAACAATATTAATTCTTCCAATCCATGAACCTGGTATATCATTCTATCTGTTGGTTGTCGTCTTCACTTTCTTTCATCAGTGTCTTATAGTTTCCTGAGTACAGATCTTTTACCTCCTTAGGTAGGTTTATTCCTAGGTATTTAACTCTTTTTGATGAGATGGTAAATGGGATTGTTTCCTTAATTTCTCTTTTTCGACAGTTTGTTGTCAGTGTATAGAAATGCAACAGATTTTGGTATACTACTTTGTATCCTGCAACTTTACTGAATTCATTGATGAGCTCTAGTAGTTTTCTGGTAGCCTCTTTAGGATTTTCTTTATATAGTATCATGTCATCTGCAAACAGTGACAGTTTTACTTCTTTTCCAATTTGGGTTCCCTTTATTTCCTTTTCTTCTCTGATTGCTATGGTTAGGACTTCCAAAATTATGTTGAATTGAAGTGGAAGAGTGGGCATCCTTGTCTTGTTCCTAATCTTAGAGGAAATGTTTTCAGTTTTTTCACCACTGAGTATAATGTTAGCTGTGGGCTTGTCACATATGGCCTATATATGCTGAGGTGAGTTCCCTCTATGCTCACTTTCTGGAGAGCTTTTATTATAGGATGTCTACTATTTTAACATATATTCTACTTGAAGTCTTAGCCAACTTAATACAATAAGAAAAACAAATAATAGTTTTAAGAAATGGAAAAGATCTGTTTTCATTTGCAGGTCATATGGTTATCTACAAAGAATATACAAAAGAATCTATAAAAAAATTTAATGCATATATACTTTTGCCTAACTACCACCATGATCAAGATACAGAACTGTTTCATCACCCTAAAAAACTCCCACATGCTATCCTTTTGAATTCAACTCCCCCTGCCCCCAAACTCTGGCAACCACTGATCTGTTCTCTGTCCCTATAGCTTTGTCTTTTCCAGTATACCATAGAAATGGAAGCACAAATTATATAACCTTTGAGATTGACTTCTGTGATATTGTGATATAAGAAGAAATACACATTTGGTCTTTGCCCCTGGTTCTGGCACTGGGTTCCAAAAACCCTTTTAAGTCGCTGAGTGATAGGGGTAAAACAAATGTCTTTTATTATTCATGAGACTTGGTCAATCATACCTGAGTTTATGCTAATGACGTGACTCTTGGAGAATGGGGGCTGGTTGCCAGAGGAACCAATTTTGAACTTTCTGCCCCATCCCCTAATCTCTGGAAAGGGGACAGGGGCTAGAGGTTAAGCTCAACTGCCAATGGCCAGTGATTTAATCAATTGTGCCTACATGATGGAACCTCCATAAAACCCCTAAATAAACAGGGTTTGAAGAGCTTCCAGGTTGTTGAACAAATGGAGGTACTGGAAGGGTGTGTACTTGAAGGGGACAAATCTCTGCACCCCTTCCCTATACCTTGCCCCATGTAGCTCTTCATCTGTATACTTCGTGATATCCTTTAAACTAGTAAATGTAATTTAAACCAGTAAATGTAGGTACAGTTAATCCTTGAACAACATGGGTTTGAACTCTGAGGATCCACTTATATGTAGATTTTTTTTTTGATTAAATACATACTACAGTGTATTAGGCCATCTGCAGTTGGTTGACTCTGCAGATGAGGAACTGTGAATACAGGGTCAGAATATAAGTTATACTTGGATTTTTGACTGGGGTAGGGGGATGTCAGTGCCCCTAATGCCCACATTGTTCAAGGGTCAACTATAAATGTTTCCCCGAATTTTGCGAGTTGTTCTGATAAATTACTGAATCTCAAGATGGAGTAATGGGACTCCCCAATTTATAGCCAGTCAGTCACGACTACAGGGGACAATCTAGAACTTGTGAGCAGCATCTGAAGTGGGGGGCAGTCCTGTGGCACTGAGACCTTAACCTGTCTATATTATCTCTGGGCAGCTGGTATAGGAAAAGAGTTAAACTGTAGGCTACCCCACTGATGTCTATCAAGAACTAAAGATTTGGTTGGTATGGGGAAAATCCCCAACACATTTGGTATAAGAAGTGTTGAGAACAGAAACAGACAGTGGTGTTCTTCCTTTAACCTCTTTCACTCAGCATAAAGCCTTTAAGAATCTATTGCAGTAGTTTAAACATAACAGAAAATTATAGACTCAGGGGTTTTATTAAATGTTAATTCATCCATGTTATCTACGTTCCTGAGCAGCCTAAAAAACTTATCTGGGTGGATGGGAAAAGCTCAAAGACAGCGCTATTACCCCAGAACTTTACGTGTGAGCTGTTGCTGCTGAGAAGCCTTCTTTGGTCACTAGCATTCTTTTTAAAAAGCTCATTACAACTTTAGGTGTCATTTTGGTTTATAAGCTATAACTGACATTCCTAACTGACCATGAGGCAGAATCACAGACTAGGAAGAAACCCTGGAAATCATCCGGGGGGCGGGGGCAGTTCAGCACTGTGATGAACACAGGCTCTGGCATTGTGCAGACCTAGACTCTATCTGCCATTCTTAGTTAAATTCACATTTTACTGAGTTTCAGTCTCCTTATTAGCAAAACAGAGAAAATAAAGTATGTATTTCATAGATCTGTGAGAAAATTAAATGAGATACTCTATGTAAAACAAACTGCAGAGAACCGGGCACACAGTAAAGGCTCCACAAACAGCAGCTGCTACTATGTCCAGTACAACTCTCTCATTCTTCACATTATGTAAATAATCAACCTAAACATTCTATTTTAATGGTTTTAACATTCAAAGGACAGAGTTTTGCATAAAGAAAGACGCATATATTATAGAATTTCTTTATGCTAGATTATAATTCACCAGCCCAAGGAATGCAGGTACAACAATAAAACCAAAATCCTGAGATTTTTATCTTCCAAATATAAGGGAAGAAAATTATTAGGAAGAAAATGTAAGATCATATGAAATTGTGGACAACAAATGTCTTAAAAAATATTGACAAGTCACTTTTCTGTCAAAAACTCCCCCCACCTCCCACCCCAATCCACAGAGGGCATGCATGAAAACTATGCTATCTGTGAAATCTATATGGTAATCCAAATGACCTAAGTTGATGTAATTATTTTAAAAAGTCAATGGACTTTATTTTCTTTAATAATCTAGAACAAGAGTATACCTTAACACAAACAAAGACACTTCATTCCCAATGAGCAACACTTTGTTGTCAGTGACTAAATCATTCAATTTTTAAACAAAATGTACCTCCATCCAGAGTAAGTTTTGACCGCCACTCAACAGGCAGAAATTCAACATGTGTTGCATGGTTGGAAAAATGCCTTTCTTCTATTTTTCTTGCAGCCTCCCTCATCCTAAAAAAACAAAACAAAAATAAAACAAAACAAAATCTTACCAGAATAATTTCACATATGTATTAACATGGTATAAAATGTCTTTAATTGTAACACTTCCATTTGCTTATAGCTTTGTCCAATTTTGTTTCAACTACTGCTATACTATGCAACAGTTTGCAATACTAAGACATCTTCATTTCAAAGCTATTTTCCTAAGTTTGCCGTCTATTATTTCAAATATTCCAAGCTTCCATACTATATTCTAAAGAATTACATGTATAAATCCTCAGTAGAGAGAATAGTATAATAAAATATCCCTGGTGCTATCACCCAGCTCCAAATGTTAGCATATCGTCACCTGTCTTATTTCATTTATTCCTCTACTGGTTGTCCTCAACGTATAGATTTTTAAATTTTATTTCAAAAACTAAGGTACAGCAAAATTGACTTTTTTTCCTTTTTGGTGCCACACAGATTTATGGTTAGCCCGCCATAATGAAGGAACAGAATACTTCTATCATCTAGAAAACTCCCTCATGCTATCCCTTAATGGTTTGGTAGCACCCTTCACTCATATTTTAAAGCAAATCCCAGATATTACAAATGTAGATAGCTTAGTCTATATTTCTAAAATGTAAGGAAAACATAACCTATTCAATACTATTAGCATATCTAAAAAGTTAATAATTCTTTAATTTCTGCAAATATATAGTTTAGCAATCTCATTTTACCAGACTATAAATGTTATCTTTAATAACATAAAAATATTTTTACACTTTTGAATTGAGCTCCAAATGCAGCTCATGCATTGCCAATTGGTAGATCTCTCTCTTAAGTGTCTTTCAATCTAAAAATCCCTTTCTTTTTTGGCTTTGTAATTCTTTTTGTATCCTGTGGAGTTTCTCAGAGTCTGATCTTTAATGATTGCATGCCCATGGTGTTATTGAACATATTTTTGTTCCCTATTTATCAGTGAGATACTGGGGCCTCATCAGATTCAAGTTGTCCTGTTTTGGCATCAACCAGGTGTACATACACCTGGTTTTCTCTCTTTTTGGTGATACTAGCAGTTATAATCATTGCTTAGATCCATTAATTTCCTATGCTTGCAAAAGAATGCTTTTGAAATCCCATCATTCCTTATGTTTCTGGAAAGAGAAATTTCCTCACATCAAACACTGGCTGCCTTGCAATACACAGTTTCTGTATGAATTGAGAAAAGGCAAGATAAATGGTTAATTCTTCCTTTTTATTGATAATTTTCAAAATACTGAGTTGCTAGAGGTTTTATATTTTTTGACATCATTACTCATAGATTTAAACATATTTGAAGTATTCCAACCCACTGTAGTTATTATCCTTACTGATGCTCAAATTGTTTCCTTTTTCAGTCAGTGAGTCTCTTCAAACTGGCTTCTACGTCTTTTTGACACAATCTCACTAGCTTTTCTTTCTTTTTTTAAAAAAAAAACAACAGTGGCTTTCAGTATATAACAGAATTGTACAATCATCACCACTAAATTCACTCCCATAAGAAACACCATACCCATGGTAGTCACGCCCCATATCTCCTCCCTCCAGGTTCTGGCACCATGAATCTACTTTCTGTGTCTATGGATTTGCTTATTTTAGATATTTCAGGTAAGTGGAATCTATTATATATGGCATCTGTGTCTGGCTTCTTTCATTTAGCACCATATTTCAATGTTCATTCATGTCGTATCATGAATCAGTACTTCTTTGCTTTTTATGGCTGAATAATATTCTGCTGTATGAATAGACCACTTTTGTTTATCCATTCACCAGCTGATGGACATTTAGACTGTTTCAATTTTTTTGGCTATTATAAATAATGCTGCTATGAATATTAAAAAGTTTTTGTATAGATATATGCTTTCAACTCTCTTGGATATACACCCAGAAGTGGAACTGCTGGCTCATATGCTAACTCCACCTTTAACTTTTTTGAGGAGGTACCAAACTGCTTTCCAAAGCAGCTGTACTATTTTACAATCTCATCAGCAACAACACAGGAGGAGCCTAATTTTTCCACATCCTTGCTACTACTTGCTATTTTCCATCTTTTTGATAAGAGTCACCCTAGTGGGTATGAAGCAGTATCTCTCTGTGGTTTTGAATTACATTCCCCTAATGACTAATAACACTGAGCATCTTTTCACGTGCTTATGAGCCATCTGTTCATTTCCTCTGGACAAATGTTTATTCAAATCCTCATCCATTTAAAAAATTGAGTTATTTCTTTTTTATCATTGAATTATAAGTGTTTTTTAATATAAACTAGATGTTAGACCCTTATAAGACATATGACTTGCAAATATTTTCTCCCATTTTTTGGGTTGTCTTCACTTTCTTGATGGTGTCCTTTGAAAAACAAAAGTTTTAAAGTTTGGCAAAGCCCAATTTAGCTTTTTTTCTTTAGTGGTTTCTACTTTTAATGTCGTATTTCAGAAATCAATGCCTAATCCAAAGTTATGAAGATTTACTCCTATGTTTTCTTCTAAGAGTTTTACAGTTTTAATTTTTATATTTAGGTCTTAAATTGATTTTGAATTAGTTTTTGTATGTAATATAAGGCAGGGGTTTAACTTCATTCTTTTGCATGTGGATATCGAGGTATTCTAATATTTGTTAAAAAGGCTATTCTTTCCTCATTGCATTATTTTGGCAGTCTTGTTGAAAATCAACTGAACTCTCAATTTTATTCCATTGATATATATCTTTATGACAGCCAGTACCACAATGTCCTGATTACTACACATTTATAGCAAGTTATGAAATTCTCAGTGAGGTTTCAGGAGGTAATAAAATAAGCTTCTGTGTTAAATCTGCCAGGCTTAACTAAATGTCTCTTTATATTCTTCTAAAATTATAGCCTTAAAATTATGAATTTATTACATTGGATATATAAGATCAATGAAAATTTTCCTTGCAATAAAATGTCACAAAAAATAAATCCTATTTAAAATACATTCATCCATTTTAGTAAACAAATTCTGATATTCCTAGAAGTTGTCTATAAACTTTTTTCTCAATCCATATAAAATAATAAACATATTTTGCTGGAACAAAATAGATTAAAATCAGTTTGAATTCATTAGCATATTCACTAAAATAAGGTGAGAGGGGCAAAAACCTCTATTTCCAGGCATTTGAGACATGATTTCAAGAGATCCTTAGAGAACAAAAGGTTGCCAAAGAAGCGGAGTGTGGTAACCCCTGATTCCACGTTGCTCTTTTCAACAGCAGTCTCACAAATCAAAACACAAGTAAAAACAAGCTTCAGAATGGCACTAACAAGGATGAAGCTAATTGTACTTTCTTTAAAGTCCTAGACAATTAACTTAGGAATGGTAGAAGGCATGGGGAAGGGTAGGAATCCTCTAGACTTTCCCATCTGTTATTGAGCAGAATTCCTTTATTTATTTTCCATCAATCACTAACATATATGACGAGTTTCTCATCAAGTTAAACCTGTCTCTGAAGGAATGATGGCTATCTTCCCTGTAGTGAATACTGTTTTTTGTTTTTTTTTTTTTGAGCCACCTTGTATTCATTCAACCTACTTCCAATAATAGCTCTTGATTTTTATCTGTGGCTCTACCTCTCCCTATGGTTATGATGAAGCCAACTTCCAACTGACTCTAGGGTGAGAAGATGATGAGTTTGGCTGATCGTATCAGGACATGTACAGATCAGGCAGTTGGATGTGACACCATCAGTCACTGAAATGCATTGACTAGTAGGGACTTCTGGGCAAAAAAAAGACTTATTCTTCCTTTCTGAACTTGAACACAAGATAATATAAACCATATCTAGAGCCACAGGAGACGTCTGAAAATAGCTCAAAAATGAAGCAGGATACAGCAGATAGAAACTGGATTCTGACGACTTGTTTGGCAAATCTGAGAGTTAGTCTTCCCAGTTTTATGGGTACTAAATCCTTCCGGGTTAAGTTTTCCCTCACTTGCAGCCAAAGAAATCAACTTGATACCTTCCCATTTATCAACAGCTCCAGTGAGAATATGTCATTAAACCTACTTCTCAGGTTCCCAGATATCCAAGCAAAAGATTAGCATCTTGACATAAGAAGTTAAATAGTGTGGGAAGTAATGTGCAAATCATCAGAAAATAAAATCAGAATCAGAGGGAGAGATTTCTGTAATATAAGCTATTTGTCTGACAAGAATTAGGGTGGCCAGGCAGGATCTGACAAAGATTTTTTTTTAATTGAATTGTATTTTTACTTTAATCCATCAGCTGGCTTTAAGAGGTGTTTTAATAAAAAGTGAGACAAAACTCAAAACTCAACACTGAATTATTATAGAGATGTTGCAAAATAAATTTGAAGTTCAGAACCTGATAAACTGTGCTTTCACCAATGAACTCATTTGTTCTCATCATGTCATAAATCTGATCGGATTTTTCTTTTTTAAAAATATTTTATTTATTTATTATTGTATTACTTAATTATTTTTTATTTTGGGAAGGGTAACTAGGTTTATTTATTTTTAGAGGAGCTACTGGGGATTGAATCCAGGACCTCGTGCATGCTAAGCATGCATTCTACCACTTGAGCTATATCCTCCCCCCATCAGATTTTTCTTTATACTGGTTGCTAGAGCCAAATTTGTGGTGGAAACCTTAACCCTAAAATTTCCTTTTAACAGAATCCTAAACATTTATGAAACACTCACAAACACCTCTCCCCACAACATATTATATATATTTTTAGAATAAAGCTGAAATACATATAAATAAATGAGGTAAATAACCTGCCTGGTGTGTTGGTAAAGCATCCGCTGTTCTCTGTGTAAAATTTAGAGTTCAGTTTCTCTGGTTGTAATTAATTGGACAGGTTAAGCTGCTAACTGGCAACTTAAACAATTCTTAGTTTTCTCAGAATTATGTGACTTTGTGGTATTCTCAGTATCTGCCATTTAGAGAGTAAGATACAAACTTAAAACTAGATTTTTTTTCTTCCGTTCAACCTCAGTTTAATGTATATGAGCAATGTATTAAGCTAACAAGGCTTTCCTTTCCCTCCTCTTCTCCATGTTGTAGGGGTAAAAAATCAAATAAACATCAGTATCATCATCTAGACATAATAACTCTCAAAATTTGGTCCAGAAACTTCACACATTAACTTAAGAAATAGTAGACTAGTTGGCACAGAAGAAACATGTGGTGTAGTGATTAAACTCTATTATCCTCTGGAAACAAAAGTATGAATTCTGACTAGATGGAGAATGCATTCACCAAAGAACTCACATGGCTGTATTTTTGATAATTCTTCCTTGGTCCATTTTCTGCCCGATGCCATGCACAACAAATACAATATGGGTAGTCTGCGATGGCTTGTCTTCTAATGTGGCTTCTTCTACATAACCTCTATGAAGTCTGGTCCCACTACTTGATGCTATAGAAAAATTATGATTCTAAATTTATTATTTATTATAGAAATAGCATTTTCACAATATATTGTAAGAAATAAAAGGAATATTATGAACAAATTTCACTGGGTTGGGGAGGGATATAACTTGTAAGATACATATTGATCAGCTCTGATATAAAGTGCTGAACTGAACATGACAGTAGAACCAGAAACCACAAGGCAAAAGGAAGGGAAAACGGATGAACTGAACACATAAAAATTAAAAACTTCTCTATAAAAAAAAGTATCACAGAGCAAAGATAAAAGATGAATGACACACTGGGAAATATTTTGCAAAATATGACGTACAATAAGGTAGCTACCTAAGTACAAAAAAAGAGCTTACTAATCAAAAAGTGAAATGACAACTAGCCAAATAGCAAAATGGGCTAAAGATAGAAGGTAACTCACAAAACAACTGACTAATAAACATAACATATAAATAGATATTCAAGAACATCTATTATCAAAGAATGAAAAATAAGACAGTATAAAAATTATCAGACTTCACAAAAAGTTTTGAAAAAAATTATGTTTTGATAATTCTTTCACAACTTCTCCAGGTACCATACCATTCCTTCTTTTCTTTAAGTCAAACTTCTTTTAAGAGCTGTCTATTCTCACTGCCTCCATTTCTTCACCTTTTACTTAGACTTCAACCCCATGCCAATGTGGCTCTGCCCCAGCTATCCATCTAAGTCACCAATGACCCACATTTCACTAAATCCAATGAAAAATTTCCCTTCTTCATCTTCCCTGACACTGTTTCAACTGTCATATTTTATCACACATCACTGCCTCAGGTTTGACTGCTTTGTGCTTTTAGAAGTAAAAAAGTTATTTATTAATCTTGTCAGATCATTCTAAATATATAATTATTCATTAACGAATACATGTCAACTCAATCACCTTAATAAAAGTTAGCTTAACAGGGTAGTAACTGTCACTAAATTTAATATATATTTAAAATATACTAAAAATGAAAGTTGAATAATCTATTTTGAATATGAGAGAACGTCAGATTCCCAAAATTTTGACAAACTCAAGTAATATTTAACAATTACCTTTAGAAAATCCCAGTTTTTGAGTAACTGTTCTTGCAATTTTAGATGTTGTTGCATCACTATAAAGATATACTTCATCCACACTGTGCCAGTCCACATGGTTTCGACTCAACTTGAAACTATGAATAGCTGTTGCAAAAAAGAAAAACTAATTTGAAGGTCCAAGACAAACTTCATTTGAGTGAAAATTTTAACACACAGATTTTTGAATCAATATTTGAACTCAGTTCAATAAAAAAACTACTTCATTGAAACATATATTTATGTGAAACAAGAAATGTATAGGGACTTAGAAACAACATGAAATAAAATGGCTTAACTACTACAATTTTAACCTCTATAGTTAATGTGTTTTGATTATTAAAGAACTGCTTTCCCAGGTGATGTGACCATTCCTTAGGTATTAGGGATATACACCTTCATGAAAGTCTCCAATACCTGTGACATAGAAACTTAAGTTCCATTTCTTTTGTTGACTTTATTTTTCAGTCTGTGAAAATTTCACTCAGTACCAGACAAGACTTAGACGAAAAAAATTTACCTTTAAACTGGGAATAGAATAATCTAATTTACTGGAATATAAGGTATTTTGGGGATATTAAAACCAGTTACCACTGGTTATTGTTCACTATAACGGAACTCCAAGGTTGAAAGATGTTTTAAAAAGAAATCAAAGAGGTTTTTTCTGACTGTGATGCTCAAATCAATATGGTTATTTCATTTCTGTAACTGAGGTATGCTTGGTGAAAGTGAGCTCTAAAAAAAAAGTCAAACCTATATACCTCAGGAATACATAAACTCTGTAAGGCAGGGACTATATTTTGATAATTTTGTATCACTAGCAACAAACACAGTCTTAGTACAGTGCCTGAGGTATACCACATTTAGCAATGTTTGTGGAAGCAACAGATTAAGAACACTGTCATAATATGTCCACCAATTCATAATTTGATAATTCTTATATTTTACTTTTTTAAATTGAAGTATAGTCAGTTTGCAATATTGTTTCAATTTCTGGTGTACAGCATAATAGTTCAGTTATACGTATACATACATATATTTGTATGTGTATGAGAAGATATGGGAGCGATGGCGTCCACTCCCTATATACATTAAAACACATTTTCTAATTCATTTTTGCGATCAGTGAAGACTCACTCAACGCCTGCTGTGAGCTTTGGTTGTCACCCATGGTTTTTATTAGTTTGATCTGTTGTTTTCAATAAATGCTAGTGTCATCTTCAAAAAATTTTTTTCATGAAAAATTTTTTAAACGAAAATACTTTTTCATTATAGATTACTACAAGATATTGAATATAGTATCCTCTGCTATACAGTATAAATTTGTTGTTTATCTATTTTATATACAGTAGTTAGGGATAAACTGGAAATTCTTATATTTTTAAGGATTTAAAGTTTTCCTCTTTATCTCTGGTACAAGGGTAAGAAAAATTCACATACTCACCTTCAGAAAATCAGGCACTGTTAAATCACCATGCCTAATTTACTTTCTTAAAATCCTCTTTAAGCAAAATATTGTCCCCCATTATATATAAAGATGCAGAGATATCAAGAAATTAAGTGACTTGCCACAAAGCTACTTAGTGGCAGAGTCCAACAATTCTGATTTGTAGATGGGTTGAAAATAACTTCAAGCTAAATATGAAAGGACACAGTCCTGAACAAGATCTAAGATCCTAAGACATTTTTATGAAAATCTATTCCCTACTAAAAGACAGAGAAAAGCAAATACTTTCTAGGAAAATGTACTTCTTAATCATGTTATAAATGCCATTTCAAAAATTTATGAAAAACCAGTTTTTATCTTACCTGCCAGGATACATTACTAACATTTAACATAAGACTGAGATGTAATTAACATAACAAACATGAATAATATCTTCAGTTGCAAACAAAACATAAAACCAATGTACAAACTCAGCTTTTTAAATAAAAGGACTTTTCATAAATTAAAAAAATCTTTTGCAAGATTTTAACAATGATTTACTTTTCTAATTCTCTGTCTGATCCACGTCAGTATTTCGACTTACTGTTTAACTTAATGTTTCAAAACCACATTTTTGTCAAAATAATTTTGAGCAACATATGCTTAAAACATTAACATTACAAGACCAAGATATTAAGAGAATAGTGTTAAGCCAACAAAACTTCATTCCCTCCTAAATCATCCACATGCTGTCTTAGAGTAAAACATCTTAATATTGGTGAATATCTCATTATCAGACTATATACATCATTTACAAGTGTTCACACCACTTATAATTAACACTAAGCAAAATAACACAATGGGAATATTTCTAAAAAACTAGTAATTTCTATGCTCTAAATACAACTGAATGCTATAAACACAACTGAATGCTACAAGCCAGGAATATAACTACACGGAGAAATAAAACTACAATTACTGTACCTTGGGAACGCTTTCGTTTAAGACCTGCTGCATCTGTACTCTCCTTAAATCCTCTCCATTTGAACAGAGAAGGGAGGGAGAAGGGAGGGAGGTGGTAGACAACTAAGAAAGCAAAAACACTGAGCTTCAAAGTAAATTTTAAATGAGGTCTGCCATTTTGCCTTTTTGCTACATTAACTTAAAAAAAATGAGTTGTATTTGACAAACATTATTCTAACTGCTTATTTCTATAATTTCTAATTAAAAATCAGTGAAGCAAAATAGTTCAATAATGTTCATCAAATATATGCTCTACTTCTACTGAAAGTAAAAAGGCAAATGATACCTAAATGAATCAGTCTAAAGACAACTATGTGATCACCGTTTTTAATGCCTTTGTATAGATAGGATTAAAAAAATCGAATGTGGCATTTTTGTATGCTTAAGAAATTTATGAACTCCATCTTTACAATACTAAGGTTATTTACTCTCATCAAATTTGTGACTATGACACAGCCAACATCTGATGTGCAAACTGAAAATGCAGTAACATTTAAAATATCTAATGCAGCCTTTCTGATACCACAGTATACATTCCGCTAGATGCTTTCCCTCTGTTACACTGAAGTGTAATAGTCTTGCCACAGAAACAAAACATTCTTTTCACAACTCTGTTCAAGTTGTTAAAATACTTTAAAAAAATGAAACTTCCCCCTCAAAATTAAACTTTGAACTTATTTATTAGTGATAAAATAATGAAAGATTTATTAGTGACAGAATGACAAAAAAAAGTCATTAGTAAAAAATGTATGCTGTGACATCCTGAAAGCATAACACAGAGTAAAGCCAGACATAGACTTGTTATTTGGCAAATGTAGATAACCTTAAAGACAACATTTTCCCTCTCAAATATTGCTAGTTATGTATCAATAAATTTCTTTACATTTTAAATAAGCAATTATTTAAAAAATTCACTTAAAATTGAATCTTATAAATCAGTTTCTTAACAATTCAGTTAATGAATCACAGAATTTTATAATTTGGTTCAAATTTATATTTTAACACATTTGATTTTCATCCTCACTCCCTTCTACATTAATGTGACATTCAAAGGTTCAATACCTAATTCTTGTTGTACAGTACTACAAATTTTTTTTAAAAACCTGTTGTATATATAGATAAAGTATATTTAAAGATACGTGATAATGATAACTGAGAAATGCTTACAAGACACGTAATA